GCGGTTGTAGATGAGACCCGCCAGCGTCTGCAGCAATTTGGCGGCTGGCCAGGAGTCATTGTTCACCCTCGGCTGTGGCGGCTCCGTCCAGATGTGCCAACTGCACGTTTCGGCTCTTGCCAGCTGACTGCGCCGTTTGATAACCAGCTCTCTGGATGCCCATCACTGGCCGCAGAGATAGAATTAAATGATGATGATCTTCCCACAAGTTGGGAGAGGAAACAATGCATATAAATCTTGATTTCATCTCAGCGTGAGAAGTCTTTATCCATCATCACTCATAATGAACAAGTCGTTAGCTGCGATGAATGGTGTTCTGGTTTTTTCAAACACCTCTTTTGTTCACTTTTTGGGTGACTTTTATTTATTTCCTGGGGTCGGATTTGTCTTTCCTGAAGGGAGGTGGCTAAAAGGTTCACTTAGCTCAGTCTTTAAACTACTTTCCTCCTTCGTGTAAGAGATGTTTTACTCTTTGTCCATTTGAAATTTGGTTTGCTTTTATTTTGTTACTTTTGCTCAGCAGTTTAGAAAGGGAGTGGACCTGTCGTTTATTCCTTTGGCTGATGCATTTGTTCCTGCTGTCCTGGCACTCCTGTTCAGCATCCTTTGTAGTAACAGGGTGTATAAGCATGCAGGTGTCATTTTGGTGGTTTCAATTATGTGAGAAAACATTCACATTTGCTTGTTACCAACTATCTGTGTGAGAGCTCATCCCTTTGAGACGTGACCATCATCCCTGCCGTGGATGCAGCCCCAGTAGAAGTCACAACTGAAAACCTTTGGTTACTTACAGGTATATTGACTTTTGAACGCGTGCTCGGGTCCCTTGACGCAGTGGGTGCTGCGTGCAGCTTTCAGTTTGAGCTGGTGTGTAGATACATCCAGAACTAGGACCTGCAGTCGCTTCGTTTATCAGAGTCACTGTGAGAGGAGTGACCGCTCCAGGGAAAGGTTTCTGCTTGAATTCCCTTAGTGCTGAAGTTCATAAATGAAATACTGATTTTTTGGTGTATTATTAAGATGTTGGTGAGCACTCATCACGCATTATTGACATTGTCATGTAGTACTGTCACATGGGTGAAGGGCCTTCTCAGATTAGGTGTTTGTGTGTTAAATGGGTAAATAACAAACTGAACGCTGTTATTAAAATTATCTTTCCCCACCCAAAGCTGCGATTCCTCCGTCCGCAGACTTTGGGCAGGGTTGGAGGCTGTGGAGGGGCTTCCCTGTCTTCTTTAAAAGAGCAGAGCTTGCGGCTGGCTGCCCAGGGGGATCAGTCCCTGGCTGCTGCCCTGAGCAGAGCGGGATGGAAACGCCGCCTGGGCATGGCCTAGGGCATTGCCCAGAGGACAGTGAGCATGTGGGTGCCGCCGGGCTGGAGCGGGGGTGGGAAAAGATTTTGTCGTCATTTTTAATCCACCACCAGATTCTTCATTATTTGGGGTGGATGTGCCTCTCTCGCTGGGAGACGCACAGATGAATGGAATGTAAGTCACTGTTGGCACGGTCCCGTGCCGTTGCAGTTCAAGTCGTTATTAAGTGGATCAGGGTGTCAGATTTCCACGTAAAAGATAAGACATAATTTGGGAAAAGCATTTTTTCTCATTCAGCAACGCTTCCTGTTGCATTGCTTGTTCTGATTTTTAAAAGAACTAACCAAAACCAGACTTTACGTGTTTATTTAATGCTTCTGTAATAGTTGAGTGGAACTGGAATGCCTCTGAACTTTTCTGCACATGCTCAGTCTGCCTCCGGACCAGGCTTCCCAGGACAAATGGATTTATGATGTTTACAGCTTATGCTGTTTCCAAGTACTTGTGGAAGGAATTGCTTTCTGACCGGTTTTCACTACTGACTCCCATGGCCTTTCCAAGGCAGTCCGATGTTTGTAGGAAAATGCAAACCTTGGTTGGCTATTTCGGGTGAGGAAGAAATTGAACAACTGCGGTTGTATGGTCAGGAAAGGGATGTTCCAGCATGACCAGGGCTAAAATACTAGACCAGTTTGCTCTAATTACTCAGCCAGTAACCTGCAGCTTTCAGGTAGGTTTTTCTACAAGCCGTTGAGCCACAAGTTCCTGAAAATCTCTAAGCCTCGGCCACCTCTGGGAGTCAGTGACCTTCTGAGCAACTCTGTGTTTTACTTCGGTTGAGGAGGGCCGTTACTGGCCTCGCAGCCTCCAGCCCCCGCATATCTCCTGGAGCAAAAGGCTGGTGATGGCACAGAACTGTATTCTTGACGAAGGGTTGCACAGAGCCCGGTCTCCACGCCTTCTGTTTCATTCGTGTAGCCATGGCGTGAATAACGTGTGTTTGTTTCAAAATCACATTTGTTGAAAAGCCTGGGGTTGAATAAAGACTTTTGAATGCAATTTAACTTCAATGCAAAGATTATTTGTTGCAGGAAGATACAAGTCAGTAGTAGGAGGTAGAAGTTGGGTACAGCCTTTGTTTCATAGCAGCATGAAAGGAATGGCAGCAATACTCTGATTGTGCCCAGCTCTATTTAGATGTTGTTAGATGAAATTACTGCAAACTATTCCACATTCTTTGGGGTTTCCCTTTCTTCGTGTCACCAGGCTTTTGCCTTAGAGGTAGGAACTCTGCCTGTTTTTCAGTAATAATATTTGAGGCCCTCAGCAGGAAAACAACCTGTATGTGTTAGAGCTGAGAGAAGCACGGCCCGGGAGTCGTTTTGCGGAGGACGTGGTTGTACTGAAGCAGTGCTTTGGGAGCCTGCTGACCTGTCCCGCAACAGGCAGCAGCAGGGGGTTAATGGGAATACTGTATCATCTCTTGCCACGTGCACAAATAACCGACGGGAAGAAGTGCATGGGAATGGCTGAAGTTAGGGAAGAGCCTGTAACAACCAGTCAGTGCTACATACTGGAGAAGATAAATCTACAGAGGAAATTGTTGAGGCAGATGTTTAATTAGTTGGAGTCAGGCTGGATAAATCAGGATAGGAACTGTCTATGCAGATATGCTGGTGTGCCTTCCTTTTTTCTGGGCTTGTTGCATTGTCTTTAAAGACTAACTGTTCTTTTTGGTGAGGAAAGAAGCAGCAAAACCAGTCATGTAACCTCTCTGTTATTGCAATGGATTCCCTTGTGTACACTCGTAAAATAGAAAACGTAATTGATGTTTTCTTATGGTAATGAAAAATAACTAAGTAGAATACTTTATCATCACTTTGTTTAACCTATTGCGTGCTCAGCAGCATGTATTGCCCATGCATATTTTACGTGAGAGCTGGAAATAAAACACCCTTGGTTGTGGAATGAGCTCCCGGAGGAGACGGGTCTAATCCAGCGATGGATCACCTTGAGGGGGGCTCGGTGGAATCGCTCCTGCAGGAGAGTCTTCTCAAAATAGCCAGAATGGGAGAAGGAGAGACTGAGGGTGGGGTGATATCCCAGCCACAACAGGCCACAGCAGGGAGGAGGGAAGGGCTGCCAGCTCATTCAGTGCTGCAGGGACCTTGGTCTGGGTAATGCTGGGGTGCTGGGATAAGGGCCCTGTAGCGAACCTCAGCATCCAGAGAGAATTAAGGATTGCTTTGTGTGAACTTTCCGTGTCTGGGTCTCTTTGAGAATGTTTCTGAACAGTGTGAGTGCTCCAGCAGCTGGTGGTTTAAATGGAAGATTGTCTGCACTGGGGCAGATCTGCAGGAAGGGAAGCATGTGCTTGAAATCATGAGAACTTCTCATTCTTCCTCAATTTATCAGCGAAACCTCACAGTGCTGTCTGGGTTTTGCATAGGTACAGGAATGGAGGTTTGAAAAACCTTTTTAGAAGATGAGATTTGGGTGGTCTAGTACGTGGTATAATTTCGCTCCCTAGAAATCAGTAAAAGCCTTAACATGAACTTCAAAAAGGGTGGATATTCGGCATCCTTTTAAAATTCCACCCTCGTGTTTTGCAGAGTTTTGTAGGTCGTACCTACGGTGTTGTGAGAAACCATTGTGACCTGATTTGCTTTACCACTAAATGACCTTACTACACAGTCACTCCGGTGCGTATTTCTGCTGGGCTTATGTTACCACTCCACATGTGTTGCCCGCTTGGCCTAGGCATTTAGGTTATGGTAGGTGTACATTTAAGTCCTGCGCTTCAGGAATGCTCCCGGTTGGACCGAGGAAAGCACAGTTTTGTGGGGACGAAGTGCAGAGTCCCTTCCGTTCAGACACCGCCGCGCAGCTAGGACTGGGTCTGAGAGCATCCCATAAAGGGCAGGAGGCAAGTGGATCGCATCAGGGTTTGTGTATCTGCACTGAAGCCACCTTCAGTATTTGCTATAAAATACATGTGCCTGGCTTACGGCGTTCGGGACGTAAGAAAGGTGGTGACTTCATTCTTGGTACTTTGCGTATCTTGGTGCCATGGTGATTCCCAAATTAAACGTGTGCGGGAACTGTATGTAACTGGAAGTTCTCCTCCTCACCGTTGAGCTGTCTCCTTCCTTTTGCTCTTCAACAAATACATTCTCTGGGGTGCCAGTTGCCTTCTCCTCCAGAGCTTGACTGAACGGACTATAAACACTAATGTAAGGTGAATAGGAGTGCAGGGAGTGTGTACAGAGGCTTTGTTTTCCAACAAATTAAGCACTGATGTCAGTATATAAAACCAAATGTTCGTAGAAGGAAACGAAGGGCAAAACTAAACAATGTAAAATGCTGAAACGTTAGAACAAGCCTGCCTGTTTCTGGTCCATGTCAGCCTCTCTTCCTTTGAAATTCCTTGGGAACAGAGAAGCCTCGTCTGATTAATCTTGTCTGATTTTAAGTAGAAATTCTTTGCAGGGTGAACATGCTACTGATTATTATTTAATAGCTGCTTCAAGCTGCAAACATCCCTGAACCAGAAATGCTCAGTCCTTTTAAGAACAAAATGCTATACAAGTTTAATTGTTATAAACAATACCTTCTGCCAACATTTCACAGACATGACCTGTATTTTCCGTAGGTTAGAGGGAGAGTTATTAACTTCATGTTCTGTTCGGTTTGGGAAAAGACTAATACTTTTTCTATAAATGAAAACAGCTGCTTTACAATAACATTCAAGTCCCTAACAGCTGTCAACTAGTGCTTTTTGCATTCTTTAAAATGTGTAAAGTGACTGAAAATAGTCTAAAATAGTCTGGGTAAGTGTATTATCTCACTACCACAGGAAGCTGGATAATAAGGAAAAATTCAAGAAATGAGGACAGGACAAAACCAAAAGTCTGCATATCG